CGTAGTGATGCCAGTTGGCCGGGCAATGACAACATGAGGGGGAGAGGCTGGAGAGGAGATGATTTTACCACGTCCCACAGAAAGGCGGACAGGCCTGTCTAAGCAAACAGCAAATCCTGGCAGGCTGATGCGTCCGTAAGTGGGTCAGTGAACCAGACAAGGTTCCAACTGCCTGTGATTATATTCATTTCTGGGTAGTGGGGCCCTTCCTTGTCATTGGTTCACTCCTGACCTGCCCCCCCCATTCTCTTCTTTGTAGAACCAAAATTCCCAGACTTCCCTTGGACCCAGAGGCTTTTGCCTCTAATTATCTTCCAAGTCCTTCCCCTGGCTTGTAAAGACTCTACTTACCATCAGTCCCCTGGGCTATATGTAAAATGCTTTGTAAACTGTATCATAGGCTCTATTCTAATAGCAGCTGTTTGGAGCTGATTCAGAACACAGATTTAAAAATGTCTGTAGAGCAGAGATTCCCACCTTTTCTCCTATGTTACTGACCCTTTTAGGAGTCTAGTCAAACCTGTGGATTCCTTGGAATGTTTTTATATTTTTATAATAGAAGAAAAACAAAATTTCAGTTAGACATTAGTGAAAACAAAGATGTATTTTTCGGGGCAGCTAGGTGGTGCAGTGAATAGAGCTCTGGCCTTGGAGTCAGGAGGACCTGAGTTCAAATCCAACCTCAGACACCTAACACTTACTAGCTGTGTGACCCTGAGCAAGTCACTTAACCCCAATTGCCTCACCATAAAGCAAAAAAAAAACAAAAACAAAGATGTATTTTTCCCATCCAAGTTCATGGACCCCCTACCATCTGTCCACGAGCCTCCTAAGAACTCCTGATAGAGGAGAAGGGCAGAAGGGACTGAGGATTTTGATCTGGTGTATGTACATGAGTGGAGGGAAAGCTAAGTAAGAGTGTCAGCCTAAATTACTTTAGCTATCACAGATACACATAACAAATAATTAAGCTGTGGGAAGGCATTTCTTTGTTCTTAAAATGCCATTTTTGGCTGGAACATCAACAGAGATTTCTTAATAAAATAGTTACCACTAAAGTAATCCAATCAAAGCTAGCAAAAACCGTGTGCCAGTCTGTGTGCTGGCTGCTGGACATCCAAAGAGGAAAAGGCCGCTGCCCTGAGGGCATCCATAGGGTTGGGTTAATTTGGTGGTAACTACTTTATGAAGAAATCTTTGTCATTCCAGTGCCTTCCCTCTGTTAATTATCCCCTACTTTGCCTGTATATAACTTACTTTGTGTCTGTTGGGTTACATGTTGTCTCCCTGATAGATTGTAAGTGCCTTGAGGACAGGACTGTGTTTTGCCTTTTTGTATCCCCAGCATTTAGCAGAGTACTGGCACATAGTAGGTGCTTAATAAATGTTTACCCATTGTTATTATTGCAGGGATAAAAATCCACTGTGTATCATTCACTCCAAAGAAGTAAAGTGCCCTACTTTGTAGCAATGGACTTTACCTTTTCCAATCCCATTTAGCCATCCAAGTGACCCCAGCAATGACCCCCAAAGAGGATTCATCCCTCTTTCCTGGAATTTTCTTCTTTCTCTCTGCTCATTCACTTGGTAACCTCATCAGCACCCACAGGGTCAATGACTGTAGCTCATCGCAGATGACTCCCCAGATCTCTAAGGCTAGCCCGAATTTTTCTCTTGAAATTCAGCCCTGCATCCTCACTCTACCTGCTGGACATCTTTACCTGGATGTCCCGTTGGCATTTCAAACCCAGCATGTCCAAAGGACAACTCATCTTTCCTCCTAAACCCCCAGATGCCATCCAGGGGAAACCTTTTTGATCTCAAAGATTATGTTCTCTCCCTTCTAAAATTACTTTATATTTAACTACCGGTGTACGTGCTGTGGAATGCAAGCTACTTAAGTGCTGAAGACCGTCTTCTAGTTTCTGTACAATATTCAGAGCGTTGGAGTTTAATCATCTTTGGCTCAGGCAGAGAGAGGTACCTTCCTCGATGTTACCGGGAAATAGTCAAACGAAAATCTAACCTGGCTAAATTAAGTAGAAAACCTGGGGATGGATAGGACGCTAGGTTTAAATGAGAAGTGAAGGTCAGATCGAGCCTAGCACAGGGAGATCACACTGTCAGGCTTTCTCCAGCCCAGTGTAGGAGACGCTGCTTTGACTTCCAGACGACAAGTGACCTGTTCTATAAAAAGAAATCGCCCAGGGTAAAGTTAGGCAATCTATCAGGCCACCATCACTTGACACTCCTTAAAAATATCCAATTCCCTCTGCTCCCATCTTATGTTCAATGAGCAACCTGTAAATCTGCCACTTGATTTCAAGGGACCTATCAGAGGATGAAAAGGAAAGCAGCTTGGGGTTGGGAGCTCTTTGCCCAACTGGCTCTATGACCCCAGGCTGATCAACTAATCTCCCTGCCTCAGCTTCCCTATTTGTAAAATGGGGGGGTGGGCTATCCTTCAGGATTGGGACTGTCTTTTTGTGACTCACAACTAGCACATGGGAATATCTCTTTATTACATACACTACCACATAACTGATAGACGCATTTCACAAACAAGGTTCGTATGGTTTAAAGTGCTATGCAAACCTGAGGCCCAATGCTCCACTCAGAGAATGTATTGATTGGTGGAGGGTGTGTCTGGTTAGTGATGAAAGGGCCTTCTGGCTGGTCTCCACGACTCAAGCCCCTCCCCACTCCATTCTGGCCTCCATTCAGGTGCCCAAGTGAATTTGTCCTAAAGCACAGATCTGACCTCACTCAGTGGGCTAAAGGGGCTTCCGACCACCTTCAGGGCGGATACAAACTTTTCTGGCACTGAACATTCTCCCCAACCTGGGCTCTTCCTATCTTTCCTGAGCTTACACTTTCTGAACTGGACTACTCACTGTTCCTCACTCATGACACTTGATCTCTCACTCTCAGTCCATGCCCCTTTTACAGATGAGTAAACAGAGGACCCATGAGATTGAATTATCTCCCCCAAGGTCACATGCGAGACTCCTGCTTCCATGTGCAGCTCCCAGCCCAGAATCCACTGCAGTACCTGCTCTATGATCAGGCTGGATAATCCAGATCTCAAAACTGCTCTACTTGAGACAGCAAGGATACAACCCAACAATACTTAGTCACCAGCAGCCTTTACAAATTGGTCCAAACCCACATCATGAGTTGGAGTGTCCCTACATTCCCAAAGCCCTCACACCCGATGCCCAGTTCCTGCTCCATCTTGTCCACCATAGTTCTAACAAGTCTCCAAGATGGTGCACGGGAGCAAATGTCCCTCTTCATCCCATTTTTTTTCATTTTAGACTCAAACACCAGTACCAGAATAGAGAAAAGAAAAAAGCATATGATAAACTTAAATACTGAAACTGAAATACAAAGAAAAAAGTCCTGTCATGTGCATAGCAGAACATAAGAGGATTCAAAATATGTAGCGAGAAATTTTAATTTCAAGAAAGCCTGTATGACAAATACTACACGTTGTGTCGAAGGCTGTCCATCTCCTTTGCTTCCACCTAAGTTTTATTTTCTCTGCAGCGCAACTTTTTATTGTTTTCCCCCCTTCCTTCCCCCTAAGCTACAATTAAGTTCAGATGTATTTATAAATACTGATATATACATGCATACATATATGTATACATATGCTCTCCCTAACAAATTCTATTCTTGTTCTTACCTTTCTGCATCATTTCCTACCCCTCTGGACTCCTCTACTTCTACCCATTACCATGCCCCATTATTTTACCTACCCCGGCTCTCCAAGGACTCCTCCCCTATTCTTCCATTCCCATAAATCTAAACTCTCTTCCATACCCTTTAACCTATTCCCTCACACACCCCCCCGAGGGATCTCTAGCCCATCCTCTACCCCATCCCTAGCTCTTTACCATTTTATTTCTGAATTTAGACTTTCATACTCTCCTAGATGTATTGTTCCCTCTTAAACCCATTCCAGGGGGCAGCTAGGTGGCACAGTGGATAGAGCACCGGCCCTGAAGTCAGGAGGACCCAAGCTCAAATATAGCCTCAGACCAAACACTTGACACTAGCTGTGTGACCCTGGGTAAGTCACTTAACCCCAATTGCCTAAGCCCCCCCCCAAAAAACAAAAAAAAACCCATTCCAGGAAGAAGGTAGGTCACCAGAACTCCCAGCCCTCCTTCCCCATTTAATTCCTCTGCACTGATTCTTCCTCATTTGTGTAAAACAATGACTTTTTAGCTCCTTTTCAAAGGTTTTATTTTTTCAAGCTTTATCATACTCAGGTCTCCCCCAATCTTTCTTACAGAACTACCCAATTACTACTGACAATCTCAGACATTATTTTACACATATGAAATGTAGACAGTCTGTCCTTTTTGAATCCCTTGCAATCAGTCTTCAGCATGTACCTTGTTTCTTTTGGCTCTCAATGTCAAATGTTCTATTAAGTTCTTCATCCCTTTACTTAGTGTGGGACTAACCTTCCCTTAAACACAATTTTGAGTCCTGATGCTGACTCTTCCAAAGCACCAGCTGGTCTAATCCAAGTTTCATTCTAGTCCTGCAGACTCTGAGCTTGTCCCAAGAGTCGTTCCCAACTTCCTGGCTCAAGATTTTATTTTAGCCCCCGATCCAATCATCCCAGAACAGCAGCTTATCAAGTCAAGGGCAGACACTTTCCTTCTTTCCACTTCCTAGACAACTGAATCAACTTTTGGGCTAACGATGCCAAGTTAACCCAAGGGAAGCAAGGCTTTGTGGTCAGGACTAGTGGGAACCGACGATGACTCTGAGAACAAAAATGAAATGAATGAAAACTGACTTTCCTGAATATTTCAACATTTGTTTCTCTGATTACAGCCACTGAAAACCAAACCAGCTTCCCCAGGTGTTCTATCTCCCACTGCCCAAAAGATCAATTTGGCCAAGCACAACAGACAACTTGTTCACAAGGTGCCATCTGAATTTATCGGCTTAAAATTAAGAGAATGAACCAATCGAAAGCATTCAGGAAAAGTGTACTGACAAGTGTTTAATTGCTGAATTCTTATGATCACATCATCCAGCTGAACCCTCCAAGTCAGTTTTAACACGACTATAGAACATGTCGAGCATAACAGGTACTTAACAACTCAGCAGAAGGTCCTATCACAGCTCCCATTCAAAGATCACCCACACATGTGATGGGATGTTCTTTACTCTGGATTGTTAGACAATAAAATACATTGAAATGCCTTTCAACAATTTAAAGGCAGTATTTAATCAAATCACTGTAATTAAGCTGTTTATGAATGGAAAGTTAGGGAATTTAAGTTAGAAGTTCGTGAGTTTGTTTTGATTCAGTTGACCTTGCCTTTGGACAGGCTGGGGCACAAATTTTCCCCAAAAGATAATCCCCCCAACATACTACATGTAAAAGTCATATGAAACTATCAAGTAGGTTTTCCCTATTGCTTAGTAAAAGAAGCCAGATTTAAAACTTTCCAAGACAGAGGTGGAGCACATCACCTCTATTAAAAATCTTGTAAAAGAAACAGAAGTGTGACAGCTCCGTCGTGGCTGTAACTATGACCCTTCCTTCATTAGGACTGCTGAACAAAATTTTTAAACAGCCATTCATGATCAAAATTCTCTGGTTGATGAAACCAATTTAAATAGGATTGTTATGATACATGTAAAAAAAGAAAAGCAATCTCATCACAAGAGAGACACCTCCTTTTTATAATAAACAAGGCAGTAGACAGCCATTACTCGCTGGTGGCCTTTTTAAGGTATGCTATCAAGTCTGCCCTCTCTCCCTTCTTCTTAATGCCTGCGAAGATCATCTTGGTTCCAGGGATGTACTTCTTGGGGTTCTCCAAGTACTCCATCAGCGTATCCTCTCCCCAGATGATACCTAGAAGAGGCACAGCAGACTCATCAGCTCAGCTAAGCAGGGCTAAGGCAGCTTCTGCAGGGGCCGGAGCCCCAGCCCCACCGCTCCCCCCTTTACCTTTGTTCTTGTTGGCATCTGTGTAGGAGAAGCCGGGAGACTGGCCGGTCTTTCGGCCAAAGAGGCCGTTCAGGTTGGGCCCCGTCTTGTGCTTGCCCCCCTTCTCCACCGTGTGGCACTGGGCACACTTCTGAACAAAGATCTTCTTGCCCTTCTCCACATCACCCATGGTGAGATCTAGGAATAGAAACATTTACCCGCCTTGTGTTGTAGGAGTGGGAGGACGCTTGCTGACCGGCCACTCGAGGGTCATCACCCCTCACTTTACCTATGAGTGACCGGCCGGCCTGAGGTCACTGGTCAGGCCCTGGCCCCATGCTGGACGCCTCCTCTTTGGGCAAACCTGACCCACCCCAGACCCCAGACCCTCTTTATCATCCAAGCTCTGTCCCTCGGACAGGATGGATGTGGGGGTGCACCCAAGAGACACGGAACGGCCGATTGGGGGTCCCGGACTGGGTGACCTTGGCCCTATCATCTCGCCCCTGGGCCTCAGTTTCTTTTTCTGTAAAATGCGCATTCCATGCCGGGCAGGACAGAACCAAAGCCCCATTTGGATGGAGCCCCGGGGTCACTGCTGGTCACCGGCCTGACCTTGGCCGAACCCTGCCCGGGCTCCCAGCCTCAGTTTCCCTCTCTGATGAGGTCAAAGTGGAGTCACCCGGGGGCTACACAGGGAGGCCGCGAGGGCTCCCCCTTCTCCCACCCACGCACCCCGCGACAGAGATGGGCGAGCCGGGCCCATCCTAGGGAGGGGTAAGCCGAGGCCCAAGGGCGGCCGGCCCCACGCCCCCCCCCCCCCCCCAGGGCACGTCCACGTCCGTCCCGCGCCTCCGCCCCCGCCCCAGCACGGCCCCGGGTCCGAGGGGTCGGGCCAGGCCCAGGCCCGCTCCCCGCCGCCCCGAGCACGCGCCCGGCTGCGGCCTCCCTCCCCGCGGCCCCGCGCTCACCCACTCACCCGCTCCGCCGCCGCCGCCGCCTCGGTCCGACTCGCGCTTCCTCTGCCCAAGGACACGCCGTACCCGCTACTATGTAACCGGCGTCGGTGCAACCGAACCCGCCGCCCCGCCCTCGCAGTGACGTCACGGAGGCCCGGCCAATCCCCGAGCCCGACGGGCCTGGCGCGTGACCCGGCTGCCGGCGGGCGGCCCCGCCAGCAGGGTAGGCTGCGCGCCCAGGGCGCCCTCTCCCCTCCCATCTCGGGGGGGCGGGGTTTCCTTAACCGGTAGTGACGCCGTGACGTACGACCGGACATCTTCAGAGAGCGCGCCGAAGGCTTGGGGCCTGCTGGGGGAGGGCCTTGCGCACGCGCATTCTGCACCCGCCGAAGCCGGGGCTGGGGCCCCTGCTCCTCTCTGCATCTGAGCTCAGCGTGATCGCCGGCTTCGCAGGCTGCGCATGCGCCTTTGCTAAAGGGCGAGGCGCACAGAGGGTGGAGGACGGAATCCGCCCGTGATCGTGTGGGTCAGAGTTAGATCCCGGGTCCTCTGACTCCAAACCTAGGGCCATGTATCAGCCTAGGGTATCAGGGTTCAAATGGAACTCGCTTGCACTGTTACCCCGCGCCGGTCACTTAACCTCTGGCTGGGCCTCAGTTTCCCCATCTGTAAAGCGGGGATGAGGTCCCTTCCAGTTCCCAACCCCGTGATCTTTCGTGGTTCTGGGGTGAGCCCAGGAAGCTCATCAGATAATAACCATAATTAATAATTAGTAATGCTAATATGCAGATCGCCGCAGGGTTTGCAGAGCGTGCGTCTCTCACTCGCGGCCCGACCCGCGGACTGAGCCCGCGCCCAGGACTGGGTCACCCCCGCATCCCCCAAGACGCAGCCCTGGGGCCCCGCGCACCACGACCTCCCTCTCTGCCTTTCCCCAGGGTTGTCCTCCTTTAGTAGACTGTAAGCCTCTTGAGGGCCGGACCGACCTCCTTTCCTTTTGCCGTTCCTATGGGCATCCCCAGCCAGCGCTGTACTATGGGGGAGGCGCCTTGGCTTTGGTCTCCTTCCCACCCTGGACATGCCAGAGGGGAGGGTCTGCAGGATGTGACCTCCCCAGGATCTGGCCGGTGGCAGGGTCTGCCCCAGGGGCTCCAGAGGGCTCGGCCACAGAGAGCCCCCGAGGGAAAAACCAGAACCACAGCATAGCCCACCTCCTAGGGTCTGTTGGAGTACTCCGATAAAAGCGCTTCCAGGAGCGGAGTTTCTCGTTTGCCACATGTTCTTTCTCAGCTTGAGCCCATTTCCCCTGGATTCCGTATTTACCCATAAGAGGGTCACGGACTTTTGGGGATGTTTCAAACCAACTATGCCATCGTAGTAAAACACCAATTTCCAAAGTTAATGAAGTCTGGCTGACTAACTGACATCAACTAAAGATCGTGGTAAAAAGAAGCACACTGGTGGGGGCTCATGAGCTGTGACACTAGGAAGGCAATCCTCAGTCCTTCAGGGATTACCCTGGAGCTCTAGGGTTGTGTTATCCATGCTCTGAGGACCGGCTTGTCAGTGGGCAAGGGAACTGGGATAGGCATTCCAGATGTATAGATGTCCTTGTTTCCTCATCGATAGAATGTAAGCTTCCTGAGGGCAGGGGCTATTTTATTTTTTTTCTTTATACCTTGGCACATAATCACTTAACAAATGTTTGTCAATTGGTTAAAGCTTCCGGTTGCAGAAGCATTCTAATAAGGCATTCTAATACACTAATATTCTAAAATTGCAGAAGCATTCTAGAAGGAGGCCTTTAGTAGGAAAGGACAGGCTCTCTATAGGCCTCCCAACCGTAGGCCTCTGTCCTCTATCCCTGTGTATAAAGTAAATATTTATTAAGGGCCTATTCTATGTTAGGCTTTGGGTATACATGGATGAAAACAAAGCAGTCTCTTTCCTTAGGGATTTTATTCACTCTGTGTGTGTGTGTGTGTGTGTGTGTGTGTGTACAGTAAACTCAGAATTTTCACTAGCCTCAATGAAAATACATTTTGTATCATGTACAACTTCAAAAATTCATTTCTTGTGATTTTTGTCAATTCAACAAACGTTAAATACCCTAATGTAGTGAAGAAACTACCGGGTCTTGATGGTACCAAAAAAAATAAAAAAGAGATAGTCACTTTGTGAAGGAGTATACATTAGACAGGGGTGGTGAGAGGTGGGGATAGCACCCCAGTACTTCAACACACCAAGGATCATGATTTCATTGGTGTGGGTGCCTCCTCTTTAACCTGGATTGTAGTCTGTCTGTGACTGTAGTAGACAGTCTTCAGGAGTCACAGTGTCTAAGAATTCATGTAACCCATTGTTTGGTCTCTCTGAACCTAAGCGGATCTGCTCACTTAACCTTTGGGATCTCAGGGTCACCTCCTTGCCATGAGGAGACCTCAGAGTAGGATGTCAGTGGAGGACCCTATGTCTCCACCTATAAGGTGAGTCAGGCAAAGGAGAGATCTAGATTGGAACTAGGACTCGAGGAGGGGGGTCAGAGAAGGCTTTGGGAAGAAAGACACTGAAAGGCCAAGATGAAGGAAGGAATGCCTTCCAAGCATGAAGGACAGCCCGGGCAATTTCTCACAGGTAGAAGATGGCATGTTGTGTTTGGGGGATAGTTAGTAGTATGGTTTGCCTGGGACATAAAGTAGATGAAGAGGAGTGATACATAATTAGGCTGGAGAGGTAGGCTAGAGTCAGATAGTGGGTGAACCTTAAAGGCAGCCTCAGGAGCTTTGGTTATCCCAGAAGCAACAGGGAGCCACAGAAGGTTTTTAGTGACAGGATACTTCCTGTATCCAAATAGATTATAACCCCTACATGCATTAGCAGGTAGGCTCGAGGAGTTCCTCTAGCCAGAAAACAGATGGTGTCCTGTCATGTCATGTCATGTTATATTTGTAAAGTGCTTTGCAAACCTTTAAGTTACATATAAACGTTAGCTATTATATTGTTATCTTGTAGCCATCATTTTGTTGTTTTTCAGTCATTTCAGTCATGTCTGATTCTTCATGACCCCCTGTGGGGTTTTCTTGGCAGAGATATGGAGTGGCTTGCCATTTCCTTCTCCAACTCATTTTACAGATAAGGAAACTGAGGCAAACAGGGTAAAGTGACTTGTCCAGGTCACACAGCTAGCAAATGTCTGAGGCTGGAATTGAACCTGGCGTTGAAATGATTTGTATTATATTGTATCATATGTCACATTGTATCGTATATCTTATCATATCACATCACATATATCATGTCACATAATTTCATATCATAAAATCTTATGTCACCTCATCGCATCAGCCTTGCAGTAATAGGCCTGTCCAAGCTCAGCTTGGTCCTTGGGTCACAGACCTGGCCAGGCCTGAAGCAAAGCTTTCCCAGCTTGGCCAGAAATGCTCAGAACTGATATCGTGGCTGTCACAGTCTTTAAGATCTTGTGGTC